TGTTTGTGTATATACAGGCATAAGCATATTCTGACCTCTGATTGTGTGCGTGTACAGTGCATGCAGTTCAAGTGAAGGGGGGTTATGATGTCATGGGGCAAGTGATTGATGGACAAAATCCCCCAGATGGACATTCATCCCAACACAGAAATAAACACACACACCCACCTACACACAGATAGAGAGTCTAAGAGACAAGAAAGAACAGGATGAAACATCAGAAGAGAGAAATATAACAGAATGACAGGCGAGCAAAGATACAAATCATCCTTACTCAATATACACAAACAAACAGCATCTATAATGGCCTATTCAATAGCAGTGTTGTTTTCAGCCAGTGTGTGTTTGAAGGAACAGTTCAGACTATTTGTCATCATTTACTCATTTTTATAAAGCTGTATAGGTTTCTTTCTTTTGTTGAACACAAAAGAAGATATTTTGAAGAATATTGAGGATGAAACAGTTGACGTAACCAGCCTTCCACAATTTTGTTTTCAGATGTTATACATTCCTTGCGTTTCGTTTATTGATTTCTTGATTTGTTCCAAATGCTTGTGTGATTTTTTTTTTCTGGGTGTGCCAGCACAGTCTTAGGCCCCGTTTACACTAGTGCGTTTTAGTTTGAAAACGCATAAGTTTTGCTACGGTTACGCCATCCGTCCACACTACGCCGGAGTTCTCGAGCGCCGAAAACGGAGCTCTTTGAAAACGCTAGAGAGGCCGTTTTCATTTTAAAACGCTGCTGCTCCGTCTCAGTGTGGATGGGGAAAGACGGAGACATCTGAAAACGGAGGCGGGGCTGCCGACGTTCGCCTATCTGATTGGGGCTTTTCCTCAATATTAAGTAGCCTAACACACACAGTTCAGTCTCGCATCATCTTCTTGTAAGTTAAGACTTCGCAAGTTTGATCAAGGCTGCAGTCTCCCCCTTCTCAGTTTGATATGGAAAACATACCGAGGACACGGGTAAATCTTCAAAGGGAACAGTGTACTTTATAACTTCATTCACATCACCCTGGTTGTTTCACTTTCTCAACAATAAAATGTAAACATGATTTAAGGAACTGCCTATTTTCTTTTTAATATTAGCAACTTAACAGACAGCAGAAATGTTGAGGCGGCATATATGAGCGTCATCTTCACTGTGTGGATATTTATAACAAAACGGAGCCTATAACAACTGCCTCCTTTCAATTTCAGTGAAAATACAAAACGCACCCTCTCTTTTGCTGAATATCAGTTTAGATATATTTCTGAGGTAATCTGCCACATTGTTTTAACTGTGCAGAGTTGTAGCTGCTTTACTGAGCCTACTGTATTTCAATACTGCTCATTTTTGGTGGTACTTGGAGAGACAATTTTTTTCTGAGGTGGTACTTGATGAAAAAAGTTTGAGAACCACTGTGTTAAGGGATTAAGTTGGAAACCTGTAACTAATGACTTCCATAGTATTTGTATTTCCTATTATGGATATCAATGGCTACAGGTTCAGCTTTCTTCAAAATAGTCAGTAAATTTACTTTTTTTGCTGTACCTTTAGTTGCAACACAGGCTCATGGTGAATACGTACCCCTGTCTACATTTCCGGAGAGCGTGAATTATGTAGCCAGTGGTATGTTTGGCTGCATTTTGTCTTTAAAACGAAAGCTACTGGGCGGTGTAACGCCTCCAATGGCTTCTGTTCATTTTAGCGCTATCAGCTGACCGCTTACCTTTGTACGAACAGCTTTTCCAGTGTTACCAGTTTGCCCAGTGGTTCACCACGTATGTGAGCAGACTTCGGACGCAGAGATGACAAGGATGATGGTGCTCGAGTCTAGTTACAGAAACCACAAAAGCAAAAAAAATAAATGAATAAATAAATAAACAACAGGCTGAAAACGTGGTGAAATCATGTGGCCACGATGGCTTTTCTTTTTCTACATTGCCTTTTAAAATACGGCCAGTGACTGGTTCGTGCGTGCAGGGAAACTGAAAAGCAGAGAAATTTGCTTGCCATCGCAGAACCGTTAAATTATCAAGGTCCTATGCACTCCGTCCCCTTTTTCCCCCCAATGACAACACCCCTGTCATTCGGTCAGTCATGCAAGTTGGCTTGGTCATCTGAAGTGTATATTGCGCCCTCTGTTGGATTTATGCAAGAAGAGGACATGTGAGAAAAATTTGTGATCATCAAAAATCGTACACAGCGGCCTCTGGTGGATTTACAAATACTGTACCTCCGATTACATATTCCTGTCCGGAGAAATGTAGACGGGTACATGTCCACAATGAGCCTGGCTTAAATTTGATTCCTTATTGTATGAATCCTCATTTATATTAAATAAAAAATGACATGATTCATTCATTCGTTTTCTTTTCGGCTTAGTCTCTTAATAAATCAGAGGTCGCCACAGCGGAATAAACCGCCAACTTTTCCAGCATATGTTTAACTCAGCGGATGCCCTTCCAGCTGCAACCCATCACTGGAAAACACCCATTCACACACATACACAACGGACAATTTAGCTTACCCAATTCACCTATACCACATGTATTTGGACTTGGAAACCGGAGCACCCGGAGGAAACCCACACAAATGGGGAGAACATGCAAACTCCACACAGAAATGCCAACTTACACAAGGCTCAAACCAACGACCTTCTTGCTGTGAGGTGACAGCGCTACCCACTGCCCCACCGTGCCACCCAAAATGACATGATTCTAATCACCAATCAAACTCCACTGATTCACCCTTCTCTCCTATTGGTTGTTGCATACCGTTAAACCTTTCTCAATTTTAGTTGCATACCTTGACATGTCTTCATTGATTCGCCAACAGTTGTTGTTTCCTATGCAGGCCACATCTCTGATAATGAAGAGAATCATGTCAGCTTGTTGCTTTATGTTGCATTAAGTAATGTAATGTGAAGTGGACGCTGACAACAGGAAGCTGATCCAAATGCAGGTTTATTATGCAGAGAATGGTCAGGCAAGCAACAGTCAATACAGGAGCAAACAGATGTACACGGGCAATCCAAAGTCGTGGTCAGTAAACAGGCAGATGATCAAAAGGCAGGAAGCACAAAGAAATAAACAAACAAAACAAGGTGAGGGTCAAAATCACAGCAAGACAAGGCAAGGAAAGCATGTCGTAATGTTCACAAAACTGTTCAACAAGACTCAGCAACTTCTGTTTGTTATGTGCTGTATAAATAATGCAGTAATTAGTCCATGTGAAGCTTCAGCTGTGTGAGTGTTTGCAATCAGAGAGAATCTAGGCCAGGTGTGTGAGTGGTGCATGACTGGATCTTGTAGCTCTTTTGCTGGCAGATTTGTAGTTCTCCAGCGATCTGCATGGGCTAGATTGCTGGTGACTGTGACAAATAAAGCTTTCTTTACCCAAAAGAAGAATTGCATTGTGCAAACAAAACTAAAATGATCAATGCATTGATTAAAAAATAATGATCTCACGATTATTTAGTTCAGCTAATGGTAAAACCTGTTTAAGAGAAAAAAGTTTTTAAAAATGAGAACACATTTGTCATTATGTTCATATCTATCTGCATACCTCTGATTATTGATAACAACCTGTGCATATATTAATCTTTTGTAAATATCAGCTTGTATAACCTGTATAATGTTCATAGTTCATCCATCTGTAATCTGTCTCACCATATAGTTTTTCTATAATTGCACTTTATAACTTAATCCTATGTCTTAATCCTCTTGCTGCTATTGCACTCCTGGTTAGACCTAACCTTTATTTTGTTGCCTTGTACTTGTACATCTGTAATTACATTAAAGTTGAATCTAATCTAATGTTAAGAGGACGTTTCAACCTACATAGTCTTTATCATGTCACACAGGAAATACAAGAGAACTGATCTGTCCAATAAACCAATGAGTTAGTAAACCAGATGAAAAGAAGAAAAAAAAACCATTGCAGAAATAAATCTGTTTAAAGCAGCACCTTTTATAGTCCAGAACACTCAAAATTCATAACTTCTTTCCTTACTTTCCTATCCTTCCTTTACTTTTCTTCTTTTTCTTTCCTCTTCTTTTCTTTCCTTTCCTTTGCTCAACTCTCTTTATCTTTCCTTTTCTTTGACCATCCCCTCCTATGATTTCATTCCTTTTCTTTTCTTTTCTTTTCTTTTCCATTCTTTTCTGTCTTGTCCTTTTCTCTCCTTCCTTTTATTTATTTTTCTCCTCTCCTGTCCTTTATTTTCTCTTCTTTTCTTTCCTTCCCTTTCTCTCATTTTTTACCTCTCTTTACCTTTCCTTTGCTTACATCTCTTTTCTTTTCCTTTCCTCTCCTTTCCTTCGTTTCATTTCCTTTCCTCCCCTTTACTTTTCTCTCCTTTCCTTTCTTTCCTTCCTTTTCCAACTTTTCATTTAATTTAATTTCCTTTCCTTCTTTTTCCTTTCATTTCCTTTCTTTCTCACTTTCTTTCTTTCCTCTAGTTTCTTTACATTTCTCTTCTTTCCTATGCTCAACTCTCTTTTCCGTTCTTTTCTTTCCTTCCTTCCTTTTCTCTCATTTCCTTTCCTCTTTCCTTTCCTCCCCTAATCTTTCATTTCTTCATTTCCTTTCCTCTCCTTTTGTTTCCATTCCTTCCCTTCATTTTCTCTCATTTCCCTTTTTTATTTCCCTTCATTCCCTTTCCCATTCTTTCTTTTCTTCCTTTCCTCACCTCTCCTTTTTTCCTCTTTCCTTTCCTTCCTTTTTCCACTTTTCCTTTCATATACTTTACTTTCCTCTCCTCTCCTCTCCTCTCCTTTCCTTTCCTTTCCTTTCCTTTCCTTTCCTCTCCTTTAATTTTCTCTCCTTTCCTTCCTTTCCCCACTTTTCCTTTCTTTCTTTCTTTCTTTCTTTCTTTCTTTCTTTCTTTCTTTCTTTCTTTCTTTCTTTCTTTCTTTTTCTTTCCTTTGCTCACATCTACTTTCCTTTCATTTCCTCTCCTTTCCTTTCTTTTCCTTCCCTTCCCTTTCTTTCCTGCTACTTCCTTTCATTCTCCTTTATTTCCTTTTCTTTCCTATTTCCTATTCCCTTTTCTTTCTCATCCCCTTTTCTTTCATATTTAAACACCAAAACATAAGACAACAGACATTTCTGAGAGCCTTTTTGCATCAGACGGTGTAGTTGCCCTAGTGATAACATTGTACGGGCAGAAGTCATGCCCTAAAGACGGGATAGTCACAAACAAAATCTTTCTCACTCACACTCTCTCTCTCTTTCTCTCCTTCAGGACCATGGACAGCTCTAAGCAAGCAACACGATTGGTTGAGAGACACAAGGGTCGCAGAAAAAGAAAGAGAGAGAAGAGAGAGAGATGATCACCAGGGGATGAAGTGAGTAAGCAGTGAGGGTTGGAGAGAGCTGGAGGGAAGGAGATCAGAACGCAAAGAAGAAGGTAGAGAGAGAGAGAGAGAGAGGGAGAAAGAGGGAGAAGAAAAGACAGATGCTATAGCTATAGTCAGCTTACTGACGCCCGAGCTGGGTTCATCGCTACGTGTGAGAGTGACGCGCACGGGGGTGTGTGTGTGTGTGACGGCAGCCGCAACAGCAGCAGGGGAGGACGGATCAAAGAGATTGTAGGACACGATGCATTTAGCAGCCTAACATCTACGCACACTCACCGCAGCCGGCTAAACGAGAACACGCTCATACTACGCGCATCCGCACGCAGCCCACCCCACACACACACACACACCACGCGTGTGTGGGGACAGCGCAGATGAGGCAACCACCAAAGGGAGCTGTGGATCTTGCCAGAAGCCTTTGGTAGGGGAGGGGACACCCGTGGTGGCTGTAGCCCCAGCAGGAGAGGTCGTAGGTGGAGAAGGGGTTGAACACTAACAACCGCCGTCGGGTTTTCTTCAGAGCTCTGGAAAAGTCAAAGATGGACACGTCCTTCATCCTTCTCTTTCTCCAGCCAGTGTGTGCTTGCTCCGAGCTGCGTCGCCGGGCTTGTCTGTCAGCCGTGGGGGGATTCGAGAACGTGCGGTGTTGAGAAACGCACACACCGAACACACCTGGAGATCAGCTGTTCCAGGAGAACAGATCCGCTGATACCGTGAGTGCTATTATCCAGATGTTTGTCTTTTCCTTATTTACAGTACACCTCATCCTTTTGCATTATCTTCATCAGCTCTCTGTCGTGTGTTTGACAGCAGTCAATGGATTGTTTGGGATACACATCAACATATTACCCACAATTCCCATTGAATACATCTTCAGATCCATTCATGACTCAACCATTTTTGATATTTGTATGTGATTATTCTCTACCTGATATGCAACATTTAGTGACCCTCATCTTTGGCTTTCTTTTTTGTGGAACGCAAGTGAATATATCATGAATTTAAACATTTAGGATCCAAATCAGCATGATATCGAGAGTTTTGATCAATGCAATCAACTGAGTGTTCTTTACAGTATCTTTGGCTTTCTTTTTGTGTGAAACACAATTGAATATATTAAGAATTGTATATTGAACAATGTTTTTTGGTTTGTCATTGGAGTCCAATGTTTTAGGAACTTCAGTGTGTTTCTTTATTGTGTTCTACTGAATAAACAAAGTCTTTTTGAAACAACATGGACGAGTAAATGAAACTAAATCTACATTTTTGGCTAAATTGTGCATTTAAATGAGATTTTTCATTTTCTTTATTTTCCTTATGTCATCATTTAATCACTGTCTTGAAAAACACTTGAGATCCAATTCAGCATAATATCGAGAGCTCCCATCTAAACTTTTGGCTATTTCTTGGTTTTATAATAGGAACTCCATTTTCACAAAACATTTTCAGAAAATGACTAGTGAAAAATTTACTTGCTTCTACTAATGTAGACCTTTTTTCCCCTCTGTGGAACAAATTGATATATTTTGAATATTAACTATAACCAGTGGTATTGATCAATACAATAAAGCCCGTGTTCTTTACAGTATCTTTGGCTTTCTTTTTTTGTGGAACACAATTATATATATTCAGAATTGTATATAGAACAATGTTTTTTGGTTCTTCATTGGGGTCCATGGTTTTAGGAATGTCAATGTGACTTTTTATTGCATTCTACTTGTCTTTTTGAGGCAACATGGACGAGTAAATGAAACTACATTTTCCTTTTTGGCTAAATAATGTCTTTAAATTAGTTGTTTGATGTGAGATTTTCCGTTTTCATCATATTCCTTATTTCTTCAGTTGTTCGCTGTCTGAAAAAACAAACATTTGGCATGATATCGAAAGTTCCCATCTACATTTTGCTACATTTTGGTTTGCATCAATAGTAAGTCCATTTCACAGAAGATTTTTAGGAAATGACTAGTGAAATTTTTACTTGCTAATACTAGTGTAGTTTCAAACCTTTTTTTCCCTATTTAGATAAACTGATATATTCCGAAGATTAACTAAAACCTGTGGTTTTGATCAATACAATCAATTGAGTGGTCTATACATTATCTTTGACTTTCTTTCTGTGTCGAACACAATTGAATAAATTCAGAATTTTATACAGAACAATGTTTTTTGGTTCGTCATTGGGGTCCAATGCTTTAGGAACATCAAGTTTTTTTTTATTGTGTGCTACTGAATAAACAAAGTCTTTTTGAGACTATATAGACGAGTAAATTAAACTACACTTTCCTTTTTGGCTATATAATGTCTTTAAATGAGTTGTTTTGTGTGAGATTTTCCATTTTCATTCTTATCCCTATTTTATCAGTTATTCGCTGTTTGAAAAAACAAACATCTGTGATCCAAATCAAATCAGCATGATATTGAGAGTTCCCATCTACATTTTTGGCTACATCTTGGTTTTATGAATTGAAATTCCATTTTCAATGGCTACATCTTACTAGTACGGGGTTGGAACTAGAACCTTTTGTCTTCAGAACTGCCTTAGTCCTTTGTGGCATAGATTCAACAAGGTACTGGAAATATTCCTCAGAGATTTTAGTCTATACTGACATGATAGAATCACGCAGTTGCTGCAGATTTGTCAGCTGCACATCCATGATGCGAATCTCCTGTTCCTCCACATGACAAAGATGCTCTATTGGATTGAGATTTGGTGACTGTGAATACCATTTGAGTACAGTGAACTTATTGTCATGTTTAAGAAACCAGACTGAGATGATTCACACTTTAAAACATGGCAGTTATCCTGCTGGAAGTAGCCATCAGAAGATGGGTACACTGTGGTCATAAAAGGATGCACATGGTCAGCAACAACACTCAGGTAGGCTGTGGCGTTGACATAAAGTTCAATTGGTTCTAATGGGCCCAAAGTGTGCCAAGAAAATATCTCAAACAACATTGCATCACCAGCAGCCTGAACCATTAATACAGGGCAGGATGGATCCATGCTTTCATGATGTTGCTGCCAAATTCTGACCCTACCATTCAAATGTCACAGCAAAATTGAGACTCATCAGACCAGGCAACTTTTTTCCAATCTTCTATTGTCCAATTTAGGTGAGCCTGTGCAAATTGTAGCCTCAGTTTCCTGTTCTTAGCTGACAGAAGTGACACCCGGTGTGGTCTTCTGCTGCTGTAGCCCATCAGCTTCAAGGCTGGATGTGTTATGCATTCAGAGATGCTCCTCTGCATACCTCGGTTGTAATGAGTGGTTATTTGAGTAATCAGCTCGAACCAGTCTGGCCATTCTCCTCTGACCTCTGGCATCAATAAGCCATTTGCGCCCTCAGAACTGCCGCTCACTGGTTATTTTCTCTTTTTTCAAACCAGTCTCTGTAAACCCTAAATATGGTTGTGCGTGAAAATCCCAGTAGATCAGCAGTTTCTGAAATACTCAGACCAGCTCGTCTAGCACCAACAACCATGCCACGCTCAAAGCCACTTAAATCACCTTTCTTCCCCATTCTGATGCTCGGTTTGAACTGCAGCAGATTGTCTTGATCTTGTCAACATGCCTAAATGCATTGAGTTGCTGGCATGTGATTGGCTGATCAGTAATTAGCGTAATGATCAGTTGGACAGGTGTACCTAATAAAGTGGCCGGTGAGTGTAGTTTAGACCTTTTTCCACTCTGTGGAACATGAATTAATATATTCTGAAGATTAAATATCTTTAAAAAAAAACTGTGTTCATCAGTTTAAAACTGTTTAATCAATAGAATAATTGTTTGGACTCAGTATTCATTACAGTATCTCCCTTTGTGAGTGAAAAAAAAAAAATAATTGATTTTTTTTTCGCTGAAATAATCCCTTAGTGAATATGTGGTGCGAGAGTTGCTACTTCAGCTTCTGTCCTATTTTTTTTACGATTCTAGATCTCCTCACACTGGGTGTGTTGCGTATATATTTGACTCCATATCTATGCCCCAGTTATGAATTGACTTTATTAATGTTATGTGGTGCAGAGGAAACCATGAATTACAGGGTATTGGATGGAATAAGGAAGCTGAGCTCCACTCACCGGGATCCATTGATGTGGTGCTGTGGTCTCGCTGACCTATTTCGCGTGTGTATGAGTGCCAGCAATGGGAAGATGGCATCTTGCCATCTCATCACTCTGAAAAAGAGACTTAGTTAGAATTAGATGCTTTTATTAAAACACATACAACCACATAAGAATATTGGTGCTAAAACATCATGGTGAAATATGATCCATCTGCGACACATCTTTAGAGTAGAGGAGAGGAATATCGCATTTCATGCTTTCGGCATTACATCAGACACACACACACACACACACACACACACACACACACACACACACACACACACATGGTGGGGATATCACGCCTGCCAGTGTAAAGCGGAACTAATGCATCTTCAGCACAGAATTAGGTTCCCAGCTTCCTTCATTATGTCAGCGCACTAGGATACTGTTGCCTGGAAACCCACAGTTCCTTCTCCTCACGTTCCAGTTATAGAGCACAGCTGTTTGTGGTGTGTTTTTAAGTGTGTATGTGTGAGGGAATCTATGGGAATGTGCAGCTGTGTGTGTGTTTGGCCACATGAGTGTGCACAGATGTGTGAGTGATGCTAAATGAAGGAAAGGCAGATGAGTAGGTGGGATTGGGACTGAGGAAGGAATGGGACGAGGGGGAGACAATCTGAGATCAGAGTCTATATTAAGACATGCTGAATAATACAACAGAGAACAGCGCACTCGATGACATCTTTACAAAGTTGTAAAAATAACTTGACATACTCTCTCTCACGCACACATGCAATTGCAGGCTGAAAATCATTTTCCTGTGTGCACAGTATACAGTCTTTAAGTGCATGTAGAGTAAGACAGTGGGGTGGAATAAGACCATTTGTTGTAATGTTAACTGAATAATCCTGGATGGATGGATGGATGGATGGATGGATGGATGGATGGATGGATGGATGATCGTATGGGGATGGATGGCGAATGATAGTATAAGATTGATAGATTGTAAGTATCATTAAAATGATTGCATTTAGTATTAAAACAGATGGATGGATGGTGATGGATGTATGGATGGATGGATGGATGGATGGATGGATTGATGGATGATCATATGGGGATGGATGGCGAATGATAGTATAACATTGATAGATAGTAAGCATCTTTAAAATGATTGCATTTGGTATTAAAACAGATGGATGGATGAATGGATGGATGAACGAATGAATGAATGGATGGATGGATGGATGGATGGATTGATGGACAGATGGATGAATGAATGGATAAACGGAGAGATAGCGAATGATAGAATAACAGACTGATAGATAGCGCTTCTTAACTAAACATCATCAAAATTATTGTATTTGGTATCAAAAAGGAAGGATGGATGGATGGATGGATGGATGGATGGATGGAAGGATGGATAGATATATGGACAGATAGAAGAATGGATGGTTAGATGGATGGATGAAATGACAGACGGATGGATGGATGGCAAATGATACAATAACAGACTGATAGATAGCGCTTCTCAACTTAACCATTTAAATGATCACATTTGGTATTAAGATGGATGGATGGACGAATGGATGGATGGATGAATGGATGCATGGATGGATGGATGGAGAATAGATAGCCCTTCTCAACTAAACATTACTAAAGTGAGTGCATTTGGTCTCAAAATGAAAAGATTGATGGTCAGATGGAGGGATGGATGATAATTGATAAAATAACGGACTGATAGATAGCGCTTCTTCACTAAACCATTAAAATGATTGCATCTGGTATAAAAACGGATGGACGGACGGACAGACAGACAGATGGATGGACGGATGGATGGTCAGATAGACGGATGGATGAACAGATGGATGAATGGTCATATGGATGTATGGATGGACAGATGGATGGATGGTCAGATGGAAGAATGGTCATATGGACGGATGGATGGACAGAGGGATGGATGGATAGATAAATGGCGAATGATAGACTAACAGATTGATAGATAGAACTTCTTAACTAAACTTCATTAAAATGAAGCATTTGGTATCAAAACGGATGGATGGATGGATGGATGAATGGATGAATGGATGGATAGATGGATGGATGGATGGATGGATGGATAGATATATGGACAGATAGAAGGATGGATGGTCAGATGGATGGATGAAATGACAGACGGATGGATGGATGGCAAATGATACAATAACAGACTGATAGATAGCGCTTCTCAACTTAACCATTTAAATGATCACATTTGGTATCAAGATGGATGGATGGACGAATGGATGGATGAATAGATGGATGCATGGATGGATGGATGGAGAATAGATAGCCCTTCTCAACTAAACATTATTAAAGTGAGTGCATTTGGTCTCAAAACGAAAGGATTGATGGTCAGATGGAGGGATGGATGATTATTGATAGAATAACGGACTGATAGATAGCGCTTCTTCACTAAACCATTAAAGTGATTGCATCTGGTATCAAAACGGATGGACGGACAGACAGACAGACAGATGGATGGACGGATGGATGGTCAAATAGACGGATGGATGAACAGATGGATGAATGGTCATATGGATGTATGGATGGACAGATGGATGGATGGTCAGATGGAAGAATGGTCATATGGACGGATGGATGGACGGATGGATGGACAGAGGGATGGACAGAGGGATGGATGGATAGATAAATGGCGAATGATAGACTAACAGATTGATAGATAGAACTTCTTAACTAAACTTCATTAAAATGAAGCATTTGGTATCAAAACGAATGGATGGATGGATGAATGGATGGATAGATAGATAGATAGATAGATAGATAGATAGATAGATAGATAGATAGATAGATAGATAGATAGATAGATAGATAGATAGATAGATAGATAGATAGATAGATAGATAGATAGATGGATGGATGGATGGATGGATGGATGGATGGATGGATGGATGGATGGATGGATGGATGGATGGATGGATGGATGGATGGATGGACGGATTTGTAATTTCTATTTTGACAACCTTAAAACAATTTGCAATTCTGGCTTTGCCTCACACAGGTGAGTGAGCTTGACAAATCACCTGTAGAAAACACACAAACTTTCATCTCCCTGTCATTTTAACAGACATAATTTTGCGCCAGACACTATCTTACAATTTTTTACTCAACATCTCAAAAAAAAAAAAAAAAAGAAAAACATTATGCATTTATGAAGTGAGCTTCACACAGGTGAGTGGGCTTGACAAACCAACCGTAGAAAATTCTCTCTAAAAAAACAGTCCCCCTCCTATCTCTTCGAGCACTCACGCTTCCTTTGTTTAATTAGCACCTCTTGTGTGTATCGTCTCTTCTTGTTGAATCACTGAATGCCTCCTCAATTGTAGGTCGCTTTAGACCAGGGTGCCCAAACTTGGTCCAGGAGGGCAGATGTCCTGCAGATTTTATCACCAACTTGCCTCAACACAACACACCTGCATGGATATTTCTAGAAAGCCTAGTAAGAGCTTGATTAGCTAGCCCAGGAGAGTCTGATTGGGATTGGAGCTAAACTTTGCAGGACACCGTCCCTCCAGGGCCAAGTTTGTTCACCCCTGCTTAATACAAAACCATCTGCTAAATCAGGGGTTCCCAAACTTTTCAGCCCCCGACCCCCAAAATAATTCCAGTGACTCGCGACCCCCAATCTCCTCTGAGGTGGTTATACATACAAAAACCTTGCATGCAATAGCGTGCACACCTGGCATTATAAAATCAATCTGCTGCATCTGATGCTATAGCTGGGTCTTTAATATAATGCAATTACCCCAGGGGTCACAATCCAATGGAACTAGTAACTATAAGCTGCTATAGTAAGTATAAAGTATATAGTATGTATAAATGACTATTTTTTCTCTTCAGTAGGTTATGGATAAAATATGGTAATTCTTATAGATTAATAAAAATAAATAGATTTTTGGAAATCACCAGGTGACCCCCCTTCATTGCCCCGTGACCCCTCGGGGGGTCCCAACCCCCACTTTGAGAACAACTGTGCTAAATGACTAAATGTAACTATATAAGTAAAAATATGGTTATACTTTGTTTTAAGGTACAACTCCTGCTACCGACAAACACTAAGACTTTCGGCTCATCAAATGACTAATTCATTTAACAATGTTTATTATTAGTTAGTAGTTGGATTTATGTTTATAGAATAAGATCATACTTTAGAAGAACCAATAAACAGCCAATATCTTAAAATAAACAGACAATAACCCAGCAGTTAATAGTGGGAAAAGGTACCTAAACTAAAAAATACAAAAAATAGTCAGAATTATTTACCCTCCTGAATTATTAGGACCCCCCACCCCTCATATATATTGTTCCCCAATTTCGAATTAACACAAAGAAGATTTTTTCAATACTTTTCTAATCATAACAATTTGAATAACTAATTAATGTCATTGTATAACAGTGATTTGTTCTGTAGACCATGAGAAAAAATAATTGCTTAAGGGGGCTAATAATATTGACCTTAAAATGGGGCTAATAATATTGACCTTAAAATGGTTATTAAAATTTAAAAACTCCTTTGTTTTAGCAGAAATAAAACAAATAAGGCCTTTTCCAGAAGAAAAAAATATTATAGGAAATTTTTAAAAGTTCCTTGCTTTGTTAAACATAATTTAGAAAATATTGGAAATTAAAAAAAAAAAAATAAATCACAAGAGCTGATCATTTTATGTCATCATTTTAGCCAAGTAAACACACGTTAAACATGCTTTGTCTTGCCCTTTCCCTGCAGAAAATCAAATCATGCTCCTTAATGTTAAAGGATAACATGTTCCCCTGAGAGCACATGCCGTTATGTGTGTGTGTGTGTACATCCCACCTGTACCTCTGTAGTTGTTTTGTTGTTGTTTTTTTCTCAAGCTCTCAGGAGGACAGAATGACATTGTGTGTGAGACACTCATGTCTGTCTGTCATTCAGGCAGTCTCTGCTGTGCTGAAGGATGGATTCAGGGGAAGACGAGTGCACACGCTTCCTGCACTATGTAGAGGACAGCGGTCTGAGGGCGTATGATGAGCTGGTCATCCAGAACGCCTCCGACATCGCCCGAGAGAGCGACCGCGTCCGCAATCACACACACTGGACTTACCTACAGGAGAAAAACCAGAAGAAGAGACGGCAAGAGGAAGCCATTAAGAGGTACATACACACAGAGGGCTTGTGTAAATGTAAATATAATGTGAAAACGTAACTAATTTATGTACTGTCAGAAAGGTGGCTAATTTATACAAAATCATACGATTTTTAAAAGGAAGCATTGCAAAAACATCATGGGCAAATCATAACAAATGAGATGATACAAATTCATATTTATTAGCCACCTAATAAAACAAGTTCCAATTGATTTATGACTGTTTTGGAATATGCCACAGTGATAAATAATAGTTTTTGTTTAATTAATTGATTTCAACATGCCAAACTAAATCAAACTATTTAGAATAAGGCAAGCAACTCATGCTTCACTGCTATTTTGTAAAGAGAGCAAGCATATATTTTTTCCACAATAAATGTATCCACACTACAGGATAGCTACAGTTGAAACCAGAAGTTTACATACACTGTATAAAAAGGCACATAACCATTAAATAAAACAGTCAGATGTTAATGTGACTAAACTTTTTCTCTTTTAGGTAAGTTAGGATTTTCAAATTTGTTTCTGTTATGCTTAATAGCAAAATAATGAGAGAGATCTTTTTTGAGAAATTGGTATAAGTTTTCTTGAAAGTCAAGTTTACATATAATAAGATTATTCTGCCTCTGAAAAAGCTCAGAAGATGGTGTCAAGGTTTGGAAGTTTCTGATTGGCTAATTGGCAACATTTGAGTTAATTAGAGGCACAACTGTAGAGTAGTATTTAAGATAAACCACTGCTTCCTTGTGTGACAACATGACAAAATCAAGAAGCCAGAATAAATTAAAAAAACAGATTACAATTTGCTAAATTACACTGGGAAAAATAATAATTTTTGGAGACATGTCCTGTGGACTGAGGGAATTAAGATTGAACTGTTTGGCCATAATGACCAGTGTTACATTGGAGGACAAAGGGGAAAGCGCACAAGCCTAGGAACACCATCCCAACTGTAAAGTATGGGGGTGGCAGCATCATGTAGTGGGGCTGTTTTGCTGCAGGAGGGACTGGTCCACTTCACAGCATAGATAGCATCATGAAGAAAGAACATTATGTAGAAATACTGAAGCAACATCTGAACACATCAGCCAGGAAATTAAAACTTGGCCAAAAATGGGTCTTCCAAACAAAAAAAGCATTCGGCCAAATTAGTTTAAATGTGCTTTAAGGACAACAGAGTCAATGTTTTGTAGTGGCCATCAACAAGCCCTGATCTCAATCCTATAGAAAATTTGTGGGCAGAGTTGAAAAAGCTTGTGCGAGCAAGACAACCTAAAAATCTGACTCAGTTACACCAATTCTGTCAGGGGGAAAGGGCCAAAATTCATCAAACTATTGTGAGAAGCTTGTGGAAGGATACCCAAAATCCAACCAATTGGCAATTGACCAAAGTTATACAGTTTAAAAGCTAAAAAATACCAAGGAAATGTGTGTAAACTTTTGACTGTCTAGAAATCAATAAAAAATTCTCAAAAAAAAAAAAAATTATCTCATTATTCTGGCATTAAGCAAATGTAAATCATTTAGGTAATCCTAACAGACATAAAATAGTAAACGTTTAGTATGATTTAACATCAGACTTTAAAAAAAAATTGGTTATGTTCCTTTTTTAGAGTGTATGTAAACTTCTGGTTTCAACTGTGTAGATTACAGAATACAAGGTCTTTTAGAATGCAAAGCAATCACCCAGAATTTTTTTACTTGGATCTACTCATCTATCGACCTTTGTTTTAGAACGTAAAATTACCCATTATGCTTTGTGGATATGCGCAAGGAGAATGCAAAGAACTCTTTATTATGCAGTGAGGTATTGTTTGTGTGTCTGTGTTTGTGTGTTTACATTGAAGAGCCGCGGAGCACAGTATAATAGCGAACAGGTCGGGAACACTGACGCGTTATTTCAGCATTTGATCTAACGGCAGACACTGAATTAAAAGAGGTCTTTTCTCTCACACTTTAACCGCATCTGAAAGAATCATAACGGCTTTAATACATGTCGTTTTTCAAAATTAAAGTTTTACATCACAAAAACACTCTGTGAGCCACTAAAAACACCCAGTTGAGGAACGCTGCCCTGGCTGATGACATTTCTTAGCGGAAGTTATAAGCTGTTTACCGGAAGACGCTGATCACTATGGCGCCCTCCATGCAGCAATGAAGAAAAAGGTCTGTAGGGAGACAAAACTAGTCATTTTTACAAACCATCTGAATGAATGTTCAGTATTGTAATTTGTTTAACATATAATATTCTTTTAATAATCATATTAGTTTTTATTTGTATTTTATTGTTGTTTATTTTATGCATGTTTATATGCATTACAGTGGGGGAAATAAGTATTGAACATGTCATCATTTTTCTCAGAAAACATATTTCTAAAGCTGCCGTTGAATTTTCACTGCATGTTGGTAACAAACAAAGAAATCAATATATGAAAAGAAAATGAATCTAATTAGTTTACAAATAAGATTAAATGTACAAAAATATACAAAAATGTACAATGCAATGGCACAGGGTAAAGTTACTGAACACATGAAGAAAGGAAGGTGTAGAAAGGTATGGAAAGCCCAGACAGGAGATGAAATCTCTCAGTAGTTATTTAGCAACCCTCTGCCCTTCTTCATGGTAAATGAATATTAGCTGCTTCAGTCCAACATCTCATATTGATAGTGTTTAATACTTACTTAATTATAATTTAATCTGCAATGCTTTGGCAATACCTGACAAGTCATGCCAATAATGCTCTTTTGGAAGAGGGAGAGAGAGAGAAAAAGACAGAGAGAGATGAAGGTCACTAGTCCTGCGCTCTAAGTCAATGAGGAAATGGCTGGATATCAGAGAGACAAACACAGAGTCAATGAAAACCGTTGGCCATTATGGTGTGCATGTGTATCTGTATGCGAGATCGAGAGCGACAGAGAGTAATTTGGAACAGACAGTTCTGCCAATCTAATAAAAGACAGACACAAAAGGATGCTCTGATTTATCTAACATCAGCCTGAGGTGTGTGAGTTTGTGTGAGTGTAATCATATTGCAGTGCATTTGTATTCTCCTTTACTGCTATTTTAACTTCTGTGAAGCTAAATTTAGATCTGCAAAATATATGCAACCTATTTTACTTTAGCAATGACATATTTCTGAGGGGGGATAGGGTCTTTAATGCAAATAGGATCCATTTTTGACTGATTCATTTTTTAGATTTTGTTGTTGGTTCATCATTTTAGTGTCCATCCTGTTTTGTACACACAAAGTTTAGTGATTTATGGGTATGATAACCAATTTACTAACCAAATTTATAAAATGATAAACAAAACATGCATTTAAACATGAATCAGAGTTGTGTCCTGTGTTCTGAAATGCAAGAAAACATAGTTCATAGTACATCTTCACTTATAAGAGTTGCCAGATATTCTTAGGAAAAACCCAAAAAGTGCATACCCAAAGTAAACTATAATGTAAACACCCCATAAAACAATGTGTCACTACCTGCTTTTTTAAATCCATAAGCTGAATTATTTGAGCCTAAAGACCCTTAATAATCATCAGTTATTATGAGAGGACGTGGCAACAAATCAAGAGTGTGCTCTGTAAAGCAGCCTTCCAAACATAAAACCAACACAGGCTCATTCTAAAAACGTAGCCCTATATTCTGGAGGTTGCGAATTATGTAGCCAGAAGTACTTATTGCTGCATTTCATCTGTAAAACGAATGCTTCGGGGGGGTATAGCGCTGATCCTTTTCGTGTTTATCAGCTAACAGCTAGGTCAATCTGTGCTTTTGAAAACACTATTAGTTGGGTTTAGGGAAGGAGGAGGGTGAGTCGGTCGATCGGTCAGGCAGTCAATCATTCACTCAGTCCTCTGGTGGATTTACGTGAGAACAGCAGGCGCATATTTGACGCTCTCCTGAAATGTATATAGCGGTGCATTTTCAGAATGAGTCTGGGTTGCATAAAACAAAATGTTAGTTCATTTTAATTTTGTAATTATTTTGGAGCATACTAGCTTACAGATAACCTTAAAGAGCCATGAAACCCCCCGTTTCACACCTCTAATTTGGAAAAAGTGTATTATGGAGGACTCGCATTCCTAGGACTGGATTGGAGAGGTGTTAGATCCAAATCATGTGCATTATAAGTTTGTAGAAGTTATACACTAAAAATATCCTCAAATATAAATTTTAAGTACTGCTTCAGTGAACTTAAACAAGTATATTAAAATCCATGAATTTCCCCTAGTTGTATTAAGATCTTTTTTTCAAAGTGTGCTTTAAATGCTTTAAAAATTTGCTAAATCTTTGTAGACTAGAAATATATGTACTGTGTATCATTTATTCTAAAAATGTGGGCAATAAATTATAGATACATTTTTTTTAACAAATACTAATCTTATTTTTTTTAATTCAACTATGGGTTGTGGCTAGGTAGGGGGCTTACAAGAAATTGTGCCCAGGGGCCTCTGAATTATTAATCCGGGCCTGGTGATGGGAAATTCAGATTTCTAACACTGATGTTAGGACTTAACATTATGTAGTCAGCTATAGTAAGTTCAGTCGGTTAAAACATCACCATGATCTGAAAAATGTCTTACAGTAAAGTTTCACAACCCAACTGAATTTTCAAATGTCACATTTAGTTTTTTTAATGCACATTTTCTAAATTTATGCACATCTAGATATGCATAAAAATTGGTGGATGGAAACATAGATAATGACAATGGCACCCAGAAGAGAGACCAACATCTAATTTGCTGTCCCGCTCTTATATGCTGCATTAGAAACTGTGCATAAGTGCCTGGCTTAAGAGGTGATTAGATTTTTGTAACTTGATGCAAAAATCCAAGCTCATGGGAGTCATACACAATGTTAATTCATTTTCCACTGCACCATGACTTTATATTCTATACTGTACATTATTTCTGTTAAGTGACAAACTTTTGTCTAAGCAAAGTCAGACCTTACTGTCCAGATTAATTCATTATAAAATCAAGGTATAATCATATTTTATTGT